TTTCTTTCCCTGCCACGTGACCAATTGTGAAGTTGTGCTCTTGCAGTTGTATCATCCAACGTGATAATTTTCCTGGAGGGTTTTTCGCTATCTTAAGCCACTGTAAAGGTTCATGATCAGTTTCAATATGGAATCGTTGACCAAGGAGGTTCGATCTCCATTTCTCAAGCACCCAAACTATTGCAGACATTCCTTTTCAATCGTGGAATATTTCTGTTCTGCGGATGCCAGGACACAACTGACATACTCCACTACTCCTTCAGTATGTCTCAGAACTGCGCCTATTCCATAATCACTCGCATCTGTGGACACGATGAATGGCTTCCTGGATATTGGTAGTTCTAAAGTTATCTCCTAGTCATTTAGGAGTTTCTTGGTGTGATCAAGTGTTTTCTGTGCGTCCCCTGTCCACTTAAATTTGAGATTACTAAGTAGTTTATATAAAGATGATACTAGCTCATTGAAATTTTTGAGGAACCGACTGTAGAATGCTGCTCTACCCAAGAACTGTCGCAGCTTCCTCTTCGAATTTGGCACTGAAGTGGTTCCAACCATCAGAATCTTCCTAGATAATGGTTTTATTCCACCATTTCCATTGTTTTTAATTATTTGTTCCTTGGGTTCCTAGTGGAACATAGGGCTTCAGTAGCACATCTCCATTTCACTCTCTTCTCTACAGTCTTCAAAACCTGGATCCACGACTGCCCACAACCTCTCATTTTCTCCTCACACCATCTACTCCAGGTCACCATCCCCTCGGACACCCAACTCATCCGTTCCCCCTTTCCATTCCACTCGATGACCTGACCTGGTGGGTGATGTCCCCAGTCAGCCTTCTCAGTTTATGCCCAACCCATCTTCACTTCCCTCCACATATTTGTTGGGCGATAGGTTCTTGGTTGGTTCATTGTCAGGTCAGAGTTCCTCCTTGCTTATTCTTTATCACCATCTAATCTCATCATCAATATAAAGTGAGAGTGGGCTACAGCTGCTGACGAATGTCTGCAATTTGTTGGAAATGGTTTTCGTGACAAGCCAAGTCTCTCAACCATCACATAGAAGCACTGACTTCACCGACTTAGTGTTGAAAATCTGGATCTTGTTCACGCTTTATGCTGAGTGGAGTGCAGTAGATCTCCACACTGATTTCAGGTTGATGAAGGAATGCCGGTCTTGCTGTCTTTCCGATCCTGGTCTTGACGTTCTCATCTGTGACACCGCCACCTGTATTTCAAACGATGCTATCTTTCCCAGATAGGTGAACGAGACTACTTCCTTTAGGTTTCTCTTCATCACCTCTGTCTTCTCCACATTCACCAGAAGGAAGTCCTGTCTTCACTGCCCTGCCTCTTTTGTCAACTTGTTAGTTTTCGCCTGTAGATCTTCGAGTTTGTGCCACAAGACATTAGACATAAATCATCATCGGCGGTGAAATCCAAATTTCATGGGCTCTTTTCATCGATCCAGTCAGTGTATGCCCATCTTCTCTCTCCTCACAGTTGTCTGTTGTATGTTCCAGTCCAGTCGACCACAATCAGGAAAGAAGATCATCGGTGATAGTAGGCGGCAGCCTTGTCTTATTCCTATCTTCACTTCAAAGGCGTCACTGAGCTTTCTATTGTGAATCATTTGGCATCATATAGCAGATAGCTGTTGAATGAGGTTGATGAAGGTTTGTGACACTGAAACCTTAGTGTTAAAGCCGTTTCCAAATTACTTCTCGGTCAACGCTATTGAAGACCTTTTCAAATTATGTGAAGTTGAGATAGAGAGTTGGCTGCCATTTTATACTCTGTTCAGTAATGATGCGTTGCGTTGCGTTGCAATTTTATTCGCACATGACATGTTCTTCCTGAAGCCAGCCAGCCTGTTCCGGTCGTAGTTTGTGCACAAGTTGCAGGTGGTGGTCTATTTAAGGGTTTTTTGAAGTGGTCAGCCCATCGTTTCCTTTGTTTCCCCGGAGTTTCGTTCGCTATCTTTAATTGGTTTCATCTGTATTGATCTCTTCCCAGAAAGTGACCTGGTTATTTGATATAGTGTTGTCAGGTCTCTGCTACCTGCAGCCTGTTCTGTCTTACTTGCCAGTGTGTCGTGGAAGTGTCTTTTGTCTTTCCACGTACTCTTCTCTTCCTCTTTGTCCAGTGTAGTGTTTTATACATTGTACTCAGTTCCTCTTGTCGTTGTTCATCCTTGCACTGTTTCTTTATCTGCTTCACCATCAGCAGCTTCACCACCTCTATCAGCTTCTATGTATCCGTTGAAATCCATTCCTTGTCTTGGCTCTTCTTCTTTCTTCATAACACGGTTATGCAGGTTTGCTTCCACGTCTCTTTTAAAGAGTTCCAGTGTTTTTCCACGCAGTTTCCTTCACGGATGTTACTTAATGTCTCCCATTTTGTCCTGATGGCTGACTGATGTAAAGATGTCCCTTGTAGTTTCGTCCTACAGTTTCTACTTCTCACTCTATGTTCTACCTGAGGTTTTGTCTTATTGAAACGAACTCCGAACTCATAAATGCTTCTAAGCACAACCTCCATTTTTCTGGGTGTCTGACTTCCGTGTGACTGTACATCACCAGGTTGTGACCATACACCTCTACGTTCTCTAAATTCTTCAACAACAACATAATCAACCGTCTAAATGTAAATGGCGCGCCTACAAGACCAAATGGCATTCGTTTGAATTGGTATTGCTTCTTGCTCACAATGAATGCTGTTTTCTCTTTATCGCCTTCTTTTATTGGTAGCTGCCAGCAGCCTAAGCGGATGTCCAGAGCTGTAAATACTTTTTCATTCTGCAGATGATCCAGTGTTTTAGCTACCATCAACATGGCAAAGAGCTTCAGTTTCGTTATGGTATTTAACTCTCGGAAATCAATACAGAACCTATATTTCCCATTCAACTTTCTTATTAAAAGCACTGGCGAACTGTATGGGCTATCAGCCTCTTCAATAATGCTTTCATTTAGTATTTTGTGAACCTGGCACCCGGCTTCTTCCTCTGAGTGACATGGTATTCGCCGCGTTATAAATGTTGTCATTGCTTGACTTATCACTGGGATTTCATACTGAAGCTTGTCACAGCATTCGTAGGGGTTTCCATCTCCCGTGAACAATTTGTCGTATTTTTTAACCAACTTCATGGTGTTTGGCGCTTCTGGGTGTGGTGCTTTTGATACCTCACCTCAATCTCTGCTTCCTGGCTGTTTCCTTGTGTGGCGAACGGCCTGTACTTTGTCACCACTATTCTTGTTCTGGTGTTAGTAACTGCACCCACTATTCTCAAGAAATCAGTACCTAGGATTGGCCGTTATAGATGCATGGTGTCAATGAGTGGGAAGCCTAATATTCCGACTTCCAATCTCGACAATATAATCTGGTAAGCCTGCGATTTCTGATGCATTTCCCCCAAGCGTGTGGACACCAGCCGTTAGCGCATATGGTCTTATGTCCTGAGATTGAATCTTATCTATCAGCGAGACTGCTGTCCCCGTATCTATTAGATACACGATCTCCCGATCATTTATTTGCATTCTAGCATACACACCACCTCTATCTATGGCTCCGGGGACATCTAGTCCAGTCGGAAACATAAAACCCACATTATATCGTCCAAAACGTTTTCTTTTTCACCTCTCCGAGCAGTTTCTTCGCCAGTGTCCCGGTTTTCCGCATGCAAAGCATTTATTCTGTCTGTTGATATTCATTCGAAGTGTGGCCACCTCCACCCAAAGGTTATCGACTTGTTTTCTCCAGTTATTTATTTCTGGTGACTCCATCGCAGCTACTGCTGTACACATTAACTTTCTAGCCATCTCACTAATATCCATGGGTTGGTCTGCGCTTACTAGTCGTAGCTGTTGGGCGATGGCATTTTGGACACTTTCGGTGAACTGTGTAGCCAGCGACTGCTCCTGGGAGTCCTCATCCAAAGTGGGGAGTGCTCGTCGAGGTCGTTTTGTCAACTTTACAGCTGATACCAGTGGATATTCGTTTATTCTCAGTTTCGTGCTCCGGAACTGCTGAACCGCCAGCTTCCTATCCGCTAGGCTGTCAAACTCCACCTCCACGTGTTCAATCATTTTCTGCCAAGTTTTCTTCCCATCCCCGCGTTCCTCGCCGTCATATGCTGCTTTCGCTCTACTCCTCAGTAACGGGCCAGGCACCACCACCTTCGCTCCTGGGTCCTGGATACCCACCAGCTTTGCGACCGACTCGAAGTCCCTGAGAAACACCTTGATTTCTCAATCCTCAAAAACTGCAGACCACACAATCTTCATCACGTCCAGAAGCAGCGACACCAATTGTAGGAAACGAGAAGACTGAGTTGCAGGGAGGAAAGTCTATTATTGACATCTTGAACAGTAGTCATCAAATATTGTATACTTTCCAATAAGACAGTCTTTTATACAATGTGCTTCATTTCCTCTTCTGCTTCTATCTCGATTTGGTCTGAATACGCCCACATTGTCTCTTACGTTTCTCCGGGCAGAATCTTTCTTTACCCATTGCTGGTAATTCCTTATGATTCCTGTCGCCCTCTCAACATATACTACTAATATCCATTCTGATCTGCAGCGCCCACTACAGTATTACTAAATAACTTCAAGATATTGCGTAGATAACATACTTGAAGAGGGAAGGATAAACTCGCCCATACTATCGATGTATAGTAGCTCAAATAGTATTATATTTTGAAAGCATACTTTTATATCTTCATGGAGTACAACAACTGGTTCTCTATCCCATTTGCTCACAATCGGCAATTAAGACAAAATAGATGAATGTCAACGACGTCACTGTCTGATAGGGCGATGAATAACCTTAGACTAAAATTCCAGCGTATTTATGAATTTCCGCTTGGTTTTGATATTGTATTTTATGTGCACTATTAAGGCACGCTACATTTAATTAGATCACTTAAATATGCAGTAGTAGTATATGTTTGTATAAAATGGGATTAAAGAAATAATCTGTCCTGAATCTTTTTCCAATTTTTAGCATTCGGAGTCTAGTATGAGTGATATACCAAATGGTTCAAATCTAGTCAAAGTATCCCATAAAGAGTGTGATAAAAACTTGAATTCTCCAACCTTATCAGCTGTATTAAGCCATGTACATTCAACCAATTCTTCAAGTACAGCTCCATCATCTCCCATAGGAGGTGTACAGTCGACTCGAAAGAAATATAATTCATTAGCTCATTCATCACCACCCTTGCAGCCACAATCTGGACCTACGTTTATTCATCAAAATCCTAGAGACGGGCAGTTTCGACAGTCTCCTGCTCAGTCTCCCATTTCCAGTCAAAAACTCAGTTCTTCCCCGCCTAATAATTTATCTCGTGAAAAAACACGTACAAATGGTACAGCGAAATTACAATCTGATGCAAAAGAACAAAATGCTAATCATTCTACTCCAGAAAATCCTCGCATACGATCTGATATTAGAAAGCCTCGGTTGGATGGTTTAAAAACTGTGGATGCTTTGACCTGTGGAAGTCCTGTGTTAACATCATCGTCTTATTCAACTACCAACAGTCCAATATTATCTCATACAGCATTATCAGGTGCTCCACCAACCAGTCCAACATCAGGAACAGCTCATCAACCATGGCGTGTGAAATTAAATAATTTAAAAATGTCATTTTTGGGATCACCAAGATTTCATAGGAAAAAGTCGTCACTTATACACACAACCGATCAGTTAAGTGAAACACCACCGAGTAGTCCAAATTCTATTTCACAAGGTCAGTGGAGAAACTCAGGACGGTCATCGGGTTTGGAGCCTTCTCCTTTGTAAGTAATCATTTATTTACTTCTTTGTTTTATTGAATCTCCAATCACATGTTTCTGGAAAGTTCCAGTTATTCTTCGCTTCTTTTACTACTAATGCCCATGAGATTTCTTGAGTAACTGGACCTCAGATTAGATATAACTAAACTTTCGAAGGTAAACTTTTTAGAGAGACTGTCACACATCGAATTTCTATTGGAGGTGGATTTCAATCTCAAATGAAAAATTACATCTTTTCTGGCTCAAAAGCATACTTTATTGAAAGTCAGGAAAAGCCCATAAAATGTTGCACAACCTGTTTGAATTGTCTCATTTCGCAATATCGCAGGAAGAGAGAACCAACAGAAGTAGGAGTTTATTCAAACTAATTAGTAAAGAGACATGGTTGAGAAGAAGTAGCAAATCCATGAAGACCAAACATATGATCAAAGTTTTGAAGAGAATAAACACTAGTTATTTCTGTGCTATGCCGATTGATTTTGCACCAAATCACCCAGGGTTTTTAAACAGCTAATTACCCTATGATATCAGTGGGTGTGAAAACGTAGTCAGCGACTGCCGATCAAACATTTTCAAGCAGTTAGTAGCAAATATGGTACTCCTTCATACGAAGCCATTTAATTTAGTAACTATTCTGCACTTTAGGTTGATATAGTTCAATCAGTCCTAAGGACTACAACCTTTATATGCTTTTAGCAGCAAATTTGTATGGAAAAAAAACCTATCGCTAAGATAGTCAACTACTTTTTTATACTCTATATAAAATTTCTTGATAGCTAGAAAAGTACATTTTAGGATGGAATGGTATATTTTTTGCGCATCATTCGCAATTATGATGATAACGTTTATGATTCTAAGTTTGTTTTTTATTTGTCTGGAATAAATAAGTTTAAGACTTCGTAATTATCTTAAATTCATTTTATTTTTCAAGGTTGTTTAGAGATTTCACCGTAATTGATATCTATTTGTTCACAACATAAATACTCACTACTTTGCTGAAATGAGATGGACAGTCTAAAATGATATACCACCTTACTAAATATTTGGAAGGGTGAGAATACGGTTTACTTTTCAAATGCTTAATGTCAATTATATTAACACTAGGAACTATCGTAAAATTGGAGGCCTCAGTCAAATCATCCATCTTTTGTACTCCTGGTCATATGCATATTTCGTGTGGTAACACTATTCACTACATTTCCACGTTTACTGTTTTTCTATTTTTTTTGTTGAGGCATCAATAAAGTTTCAGAAACAACCGAATGGTTCATTTTCATTAGTGAAGTAATCGGCAATCGTGCAGTCAAACTATAAGCCTTACCAACAAACCACATTAACTGATAAAATGTCCACAGTTATATTCTGACTATATCTATCTTGTAGGTAACAAAGGATACTACTAATTATCATGTTTTAAGTACGATTTTAAGTAATTCTTTTTAATACTAAGATTCTCATTTTCGTCCGCATTTCCAATAAAATTATCATAGACTATTTCTATAATATAACTCTATCCGTTTTCCGCTTATAAAGCACTGATAATTCTACGACTAGGTAGTCTGATTGAATTCCTGTGCGAATTTAACATTTAGTGTCTAAAGAAAACAGTGATGACTTGTAGAATTGTTCAAGTGATTTGGTTAAATTAAGAATACTTCGAGGATTGATCTACACTGATGTTTATTTCGCTACCAGAGTCTCATAGCATGCATGATTACTTACACTGGTTCCGATTCAAGTAACTGTCGACCATATACTGCCATGGGTACAAAATTTTGATTCGAAACTACCAAATTACTCTACTTATGGTACTGAGAATTTATCTGGTAATTTTTAAAGGGATGAATATACTGGGAGGAAAGTACTATGATTTACTACATTACTATAAAGTACGATCATTGGTAGTAGATGAAACAAAGGGACTAAAGTTATCTAACGATTTATGCCTTGATAATAGAATACCACATGTCTTAGATACACTAGTAAACAATGTTAACCTTAGACGGTAGTTCTTAAACATATGATAGAAATCATACGATCAGGCTATGCAATTACGTTCACGATTGGGTTACCAGTAAACCTAATATTCAAGATCAGCCGTTGCCTTCTTCATATTTATAATGTATATGAGAAGGAGGTTTGGCAGCAGTGAAGTAATCAGTTCAATAATCACTAGTAGCCAAGGGGTTCAATGCATTAAGATTTCACAAGGACAGCTACAGCTTTATTCACCGTGATCAATAATGTACTACACATGAATAAACAGCCACTATAATATTCGAAAATAAGTAAGATTGTTATCGTCTATATTATTGGTCGGGTGCACGTTATACCTAATTATTTACGCATGCGTTTTCTCCCTATCATTCACTAGGTTAACTCATAAATCCTGGTTCAATGGCTTTCTCACAGCAGCTTCTGGTCATGTGATCACTAAAGGAAGCCAGCATGCGGCTAATGCAGCAGCTGCTGCACAGGATTCAGCTGCCCTAGCAATATCAATTCAATCGAAATGTAAGGAAGAAAGTGAAAAGATCAAAGAAGAAAATGAACAGAGTGAACTTCATCCTGAACAAGATTTGAATTCAGATAAGTTATGTGCAAAAGTTTCATCAAGTAGTGAATTGGCAGAAAACTGGAAAAATTCAAGTATAACATCCGAAGGAAGCAGTGGTAGTCACAATAACAATGCCGATTTACAGTATTCTACATCTCAGCCTTCATCACCATCATATTCATCAGTTTCAGATGGTGTAGTGAAACCTCATCAGCATCATTACTGTCACCACCACCACCCCTTACATTCTCACCATTATCAATCACAACAACAATCCTATCATACGGGCAGTACAACTGAAACACAGTTCATTTCAAATCAGTTACATCCCTCTTTGGATACTGGTTCAACTACAAAACAGATTGAGAGGCGTGGGCTTAAACCACTGGCATCAACAGGTTGTACTACTTCTACTGCTGCTAATACTCTTACTTCTACTACCAACATCACAAGTATGTCAGGAGGCAGTAATGCTCCACCAGAAGAAACAAATCATGTAGTCATGGTGAAAGGTCGTGCTCTAAACAGACTTAAAGCGGAACTTGTACAAGTAAGATATATTCTTCATTTCCTGTCTATGCATTTTTCCCAGACTGTTAATCCTATGATTTTTATAACTAATTTTCACGTTGTTTTGTAGTATTTTATATATTTCCTGTCTGGGATCAGACGACAGGAACAGTAATGCTTATTTAATCACGTAACATATGACCTGAAACTCCTATGTGCATACATTGAATAACACACTTGAGTAACTATATGAATTAATCGGTGTGATTTTTAATAGACTAATTGTCATAACTAACTGATACGAATCGTTAATTGCATTACGTTAGTGCGTAAGCAAGTGGACTGTTAAACGTGCAGGTGGTTTGACAGTGTTAAACAATATTGATCAGTTTAGAAGGCAAGTTTAATTGGGTTTCCAAATAGCTGCAAATTATGAAATAATTTTGAGGAAAACTCACTACTTCACCATATGCTTTCATAGGAGTTGAAGAATTTGTTTGTGATATCTATTATGTGAAAAATTTCAAACTAGTGCTAAACTTATTACTGTAGCAATATCCTTACTACATGCAGATATAAGCAGATATGGGTCAAGTGATGGTTTGGATCATAACCGTTTACTAGCAGACCATGCTACTAATCAAAAAGACTATCACTGGTATATCTGTTCGCTTACAGCCTAGTCGATAGACGAATTAAGACGAGAAGATAATCACATGCATCCCGCACCAGCCTAGTTTGCTATCCTGATGTTCATTCTCTTCTTCTCACTTTCATGAATCTTCTTCAGGCCTCTTAACACAATGGATGCAGTAATAATTATGACAAAAACAGTATACTGTTGGAATTCGTTGCATATATTGGTAAAAATATAACAAGTCCTCTTTCTCAACAACTAGTGCTTTCAATTCATATAATAGTGTAAACGCTTTAGAAAATTTTGATCTCGATCAGTAAAATGTGCCCCAACAATGTTTTTAAGGTGACTGGACGGTCGCTATATTCTAGATCATCTAATTGGCTTTCAGTGAGCCTAGCAGGAACTCGTCCAACTCGTTCTGCAACTCGTCCAGAAATACCACCAGCAACCTCAGAACTACCAGTGAACACAAGACCTCCGACAAAATCAAGAGTGAAGTCCTGAACGCCATAAAGTTGCTGAAAGCCGGGAAAGCAGCAGGAACAGATAGAATTCCTCTAAAAGCACTGAAAACAGACGCAGAGACAACAGCGGACATGCTCACATCACTACTGCAAAAGGTTTGGAAGAAAGGGAGGAAAGGTACCTGCAGATTGGAAGAAGAAGGGGTACCTCGTCAAACTTCCAAAGAAGGGCGACCTAAGTGTTTGCAGGAACTGGTGAGGAATCATGCTCCTATCCACCCTAAGCAAGATATTAATCCGCGTCATCCTGGAGAGACTAAAAGATGCGCTGGATTCAAAACTGCGACCGGAAGAGGCTGGCTGGACCATGCAACAAACTGTGGGGAGCGACAAGATGGGGATATGCTGTCTGATCGATGAGTAGAGCCTAGAAGATTTGGATTTCACCAAGGATGATTCATGTCTAATGTCACACAAGCTCGAAACTCTACCGGCGAAAACCAACAAGTTGGCAGAAGAGGTAACAAGGGAAGACCGGACTTCAAGTGAATGTAGAGAAGACGAAGGTGATGAAGATGCCCAACCAACAACATCAACAACAAGAAGCACCAATCACCATGAACGAGAGAAACCTAAAGGAAGTAGTCTCTTTCATCTACTACCTACACAATGTCGTTTCAACTGAAGGTGGCACAGATGAGGATGTCAAAACCAGGATCGGAAAAGCAAGACAGGCTTTCATCAATCTGAAATAAGTGTGGAGATCTACTGCACTGTACTCCACTCCACTCCACTACCCTCAGCATAAAGCATGAACAAGATCCAGATTTTCAACACTAAGTCGGTGAAGTCAGTGCTTCTGTGTGATGGTTGAGAGACTTGGCTTGTCACGAAAACCATTTCCAACAAATCGCAGACATTCGTCAGCAGCTGTCGCCTACTCTCACTTTATATTGATGATGAGATTAGATGGTGATAAAGAATAAGCAAGGAGGAACTCTGACCTGACAATGAACCAACCAAGAACCTACCACCCAACAAATATGCAGAAGAAAGTGAAGATGGATTGAGCATAAACTGAGAAGGCCGATTGGGGACATCACCCACCAGGTCAGGTCATCGAGTGGAATGGAAAGGGGGAACGGATGAGTTGGGTGTCCGAGGGGATGGTGACCTGGAGTAGATGGTGTGAGGAAGAAATGAGAGGTTGTGGGCAGTCGTGGATCCAGGTTTTGAAGACTGTAGAGAAGAGAGTGAAATGGAGATGTGCTACTGAAGCCCTATGTTCCATTAGGTACCCAAGGGACAAGTGATATGTATAATAGCAGGAATGAACTTGTGAGGAATAGTATTCGTCTAGAACTACTGATTCCCTTTTATGGGGTTAGATGTATGTAAATAAGTTGGTTGTTAATCTCTTTCTTAAAGCGGTAATACAATACTTTTAAAATAATCATTAACATAGTTTTACTGCGATAATCAAAGCACAATACAGTATGTAGCACACCGATATTTTTCAAACACTGACCACAGAAGTATTGTTGTATAAAGTTAAATAATTGGACATTATTCAAAACCGATCGTATTCGATGATGAGTGACTTCAAATGTCACCCTAATATCTATTGAAATAACGGGCTAGGTTTCTTTATTTTTGTTGAACATGTAACTTCTTTAAGGTAATATTCATCACAGATTGAGAAGTTCCATACGAGGATGAGACAGGTGTCCAGTGCTCTGAGGTTTTCAATGGATGTCAGTCCATGATGAATACTGTCCTAAAATTAAAAGTCCACACTGACCTCAAAATACATTAATGTAGTTGTTTCCTAAAACAGAGACACCTAATTGTTTACTCTAGTAGTTTTGGGGGCGGCTGTTACAATTATTCTTTTGAGTACATCATTGCAAAACTATTCAAGTATTGTGCAAGGTTAGCTGATATTTCTCCCAGGTAGTTGATTTATCACTGACCAGTTTATCTAAACACAAAGACAAGTTCTGGAATCCCAGGCAGATGAACACATAATAGTGATTGCCTTCTACAACTGTGCTCAGAAAACCGTCTACTTCTAGCCAATACGAACTTCAGACATGAATTGAAACAATATCTGACGTGATATCCAGTGATTTAAGCTGCATACTGGACACAGATAGACCATATTCCCATCAGATATCACTGCAGAAGGTCGATAGGAGATAGCTGCTTCTTTAGGAGCAAGTGTTTGGACAGTGATCAAGTATTGGTTTGAGCATGCACGTGTGCTCCCTAGTGAGCATAGTAAACTACAGCTGCATGACCCTTTTGAGTGCGACTGGATCATCAGAATTATGAGGTATTCGTCAATGAGAAACTACTTAGACTGTTGTCACCCACCTGATAGCTACTATCTTGACGTGGTAATCAGGCTTGTATATCACAATGACCAAACAAGCTACGCTAGCTGAGATGCTTGTTCCCTTGAGATCCTGCCATACCAGAAAGGTTTGCTGGATAGTGGTAGGGCGAAAAGAAGTTACCGTTGTAGTGTAAATTGCTACACTATAATGTGAGGCTTAGGGCGAAGTCGTACTGTTAGGTGAATGGGGTGTGACAGCAGTAGGTGTATCCCATGGGCAACCTGCAGTGCCATGCTGTCTTTTTAATGGAAAGATGTGGAGATAAAAAAAGATTGGCCCTAAAAACAACATGCTCCTCCCTGCTCCACGGTCTTGTGGTGCTCGCGGTATGGATTTTCTCTATCCGGCGTTTCAGCAACCAAATCTCAAAACCCCAATCCGCAAAAGGCTCCATATGATTGGTGTCAATCAGATATTCCATGAACTATGTGGTCACACAAATCTCTCTCTTTTTCCCTTTTAGGTACGTTAATAAGGAATATTCTAATACTGTGTTGGCAACTGGAAGGTGTCAAACGCCTTCAGCCCTCCAGTAGTACGCAAGACTCAATAAAACATAACCTATCCTCCTCATTTCTGTTTCCTCCTTCACTTTCACCTCCTGATGCTAATACTAAGCGTTTACACCTTCCTCAGCCTCTCATTCTGCGCCTATTATCAGCAATCAATGTCACTGAGACTTCATTTCTAATCCATTAAGACCCCGCCATCGATTTTATGTAGGAGCTTCAACATCCAAACACTGCCGAATCGGACAGCATACATCGCTCTTCAGAACTCTGCATTCTATAGTGATGGATTTATGCTGTGTCTCTGAGACAAGTATGCAGGGTCAGAGTGTGGTCATTTGCCAACTTGCGATATCTTTGGCGTCGAGTGGTCAGATATCCTACTAACTATCAAAGAAGTACTCTGCCCTGCAGTCAGTTCTATCCTTCTATGCAGTTCCGAGACATGCCTATTAAAAGTAGAAGATATGGAGCGGTCACAGGGATTTGATCATAAGTGTATTCATAAGATTGCCCGTGTGCGGTGGGATCGACGCGTGGGGAATGTTGAAGTCAGGAGAAGAGTACTAGGCACGACACACAAGTTGATTGATGAGGTTGTGGAACGTTCATCGACTGTGGTGGCTTGGACATGTGTCACTCATTTCGATCCACCACCTATCTCGATGTACCATGCTAAGGTAAGTTGGACTAAGTTGGAAGAGAACCCAAAGTTAATAGATCAAGGCGTTACACTAGTCACTGAAGTCCCTGGCTGTTAGGAGATGTAAACTACCTGGTTGGAGTCCCCGAGACGTTAGGAATCAGTATGTGAGGACTCTTGTTGACATGGCTAAAAATTGGTCACAGTGGCGTAAGTGTATGCATCACCTGACGTCTTCTGAAGCTTGAATGTTTGCACTGACCTTTGTATTCAAATTACTTATTCTCCAACTAAACTATGTACTTTGGTATCAGTCTTTTCTATTCATCTGTTGTTTGTGTACTACTGTGAAGTGTGGTAACTTGAAATGATGCACTTGTGTGCG